CTGCCTTATTCAACCGACCACCCGGGCAGGAGCGTCACTTTGTTTATGGTCGGGGAGGGGGGGGGGGGCTGAACTCCCCTAAATACGGAGCACTTTTTCAACTATTGGTATGCTAAAAAGCAGTATGTACTTAAATACATGACTATTAGTATTATGCTGGTTTTGTATCAAATAGATTTAACAAGGGGGCGGTTTTGGGGGGGGGGGGCTCGTCACTATGGGGGGGGGGGGCACTTAATGACCACCCACTGCCTCTGAGACGCACCCACCTCCCAGAGCCCGACGCCTCAGCGCGCCCCGTCCACGCGGCGGGGCGCCTCCGCGCCATGGTGCGACGGCATGAGTCAGGCAGGTGACGTCACGTCAGGCGGACGGCTGCGCCAATCAGACGCGCGCAGAGCTGTTTTTGCAGCGGTGACGTCAGGGATGTGTGAATGGCGCGGGGCTGGCGGATGTGGACTCTCGGCCGTGGAATGTGGATGACTGAGGCTTAAGACGCACGGGCCGGTCGGACCCAAGGGGGCGATCAGGCAATGCGCTTCAATACGATGGAAAAGGCTCTATGTTCGCATTATCAGGTCCGGTTTTCGGCAGATTCACTTGACACAGTAGTCGGCGTTGTCTTCCGGGTTCGATCTTGGATCTGCCCGTGCTCGGAAGGCGGGTTGATGTAATGCTCGAGCTGTGGCTCAAACCCTGCCGCTCCATCTGGGCACCCTGGACTTCGCCCAGTTATTTCCTTAGGCAGCCCATCATTGCTACGACTGCATTCAACAATCGTTGATATGTTTTGCTGATTCAGATAGGTGGGAATAAGCTGGGGCCCCAGATGTTCTTTTCTGTGTTGTATGTGAAGTGCGATCATTTTATTGTGTCAACCGAGGCGTGCGCCGAGTCTGACGGAACGGAGTTGAGAAGCCTGATAATGGAAGAGGTAAAGCGAGGGACCAAACAGGAACAAGTTTATTGTTCCCATGCCAGCAGCGATAGCGATTAGGAGGCCACGAGCAAGAGGATTTATGATAAGATCCATCAGCACCTTTGGTCCACGCCACAATTCCCTTGAACCAGGATGTCTGCAGAAAATGACACATTGTGCGCCAGCTTACGTCGCATCTGACTAAATGGGCGCCATCTTTGTTCGCCGGACATTACAGCCATGATAGTTTAAACCCACCGACCGGTCGAAGGGTATAATTCACCCTGATGTGGATATTTGAACTGAGATAATCAGGTTTGAGTTTACTGAAAGATCTAAACAAACCATCTTGCATGAATCGGCACCCTGTGACGTAGGCCGATCCGGCCTTGGCTTATCTCGTTTGGCTTGTTTTGAGCATGCCATCAAAAATACTGGCACATCAGTACAATGCTGCATCAGTCAAGGCAATGGATAAAACTGGGTTTGAAAAGTCATAGACACCGAGTAAATGTTTGCATTTGTTTCCAAAAATGATGCATTGGGCATGTGCTACATTCACGATATTTGAACCATAATAGCTTATCAACTGTGGAAAGTAGAAGCATGGAGACATTTATTCAATGAATGACGACAGTATAACGGTATATCTTAATGATTTTGTGGTGCAGTAAGGTCTCAATATGTCATTTCTCAACATTTCCACCTTTCCTGCACGGTGTAAGAAAAGCAAGGGACGAATATTTCCCAACGTCCCCTGTTTAGTCGTAATATGTTGCATTGCTGAATACCCACGAAGATAAAACAGGTTTGCTGAAGCAACGGAAAATACGTTTCGATCCTATCTTCTCCCGAGTGTGGCGAAAATTGTGATCCTAATAATTAGCTTCTCAACCCCAAGACACACAGATTAATGGAAATATTACCACTCCTTGGCTTGTGGTGCCTTCAAACCTTGCCCTAGCGCACAACTGTATTAATGGCGCACGGCAGTGGTTCTTGCTTTACTGAGGTCTGTGCCAGGGTCGAAACTGTGCAGCAATATTGTAGCGTGAAAAATTGAGCAACGCGCATGGAGCGCAATGTACTGTATTGGCGAGAGCAGATGCCGTAACATTCTACATAGGTGTCTGAGCTTTTTTCCACACATTTCCACATTTTTTAAGCAATGCCTGTAACGGGATTGGTCGTACCAAAGACGTTCTCTCTTGTCATTTTCCTTAAAACAAGCAGGAAAGTGGAGTCCGCAAGGGGGCTTTTGAGCCCCGACAAAGTCTAAACAAACTTGGCCTACCAATCAAGCACTTTGTCTTCGGCCGTGGCGCCATCATTTGAAGCTCTACCAAATAATGGAGATACTACAATCGCGTGCTCTCCTCCCATTGGGTCTATTGCATAGTTAAAGCGGGAGCGTCGCAGAATTATTATGCCGTAGAACGGAAGTTGCTGATGAAAATAAACATGCTAAGTGAATCAGGAGTTCATGTGGTATGTTCCTTAGCATGCGACTAAAAGCGATTTTTTGCTAAGCCGGAACCTCGCAGGAGAAGCCCAGCCGGCCATCAGATTTGAACTCACGGCCTGCCGGTCTGGTAATCGCCACCCTGTCACTGGGCCAACGACTCTCCAGCCACTCGTCTGGCCTGGCTTAGCCGGTGGGAATGGGATTGTGCAGCTCACGCTTCAACTTTTCATAGCTTAACTTTTCTTAACAAACTTTTAACTTTTCTTACTTTTAATAACTTTTCACCGCTCTTAACAGCGGTGGTGGCATCCCCGTTGCCAAATTTCCGTTTGTCGTGTTTACAGGGAATATATTGAAGGAGCTCTAAAACGTGTCAGTTGTGTTATAAAATTATCTCGTTTTGTAGTTGCTTGCTCATTGCTTACCCACCGTGACTACGGTGGTCATGTGAGCTTTCAGGGGTCACGGAGCAACCGGGATTCGAACCAGGGCCTCCCAAGTGCAAGCCAAATGAGGCATCCACTCGGTCATCGCGCCCCCTCCATTTGTTTTGGCCATTTGTTACAACTTTCACCTATTTACGGAATCGTGAATTTTGGACCCACTTCTGTCGCTAAGCATTTAAGCACGTAGGTACTTAGACCCGGTCACCGATGACATTCTAAAAAAGTCTGGCCGGAGAATCGACGTCGATTGGCACGACGCTTATGACCGTCCTAATTACGTGCAGCCATGGAAAACCAATACATTACATCCTGGTGGTGGCAGGTCATTGGGTGGCACCCCGCTGACGCTCTGTGCAGGCTCTATGGCGGGTTTGCTGGGCCACTGGTGGCATGTCGTCAGCAGCTAAGTGTGAAAAGCAACTGATGTACCTTTCGCGACAGGCTGAGCCGCCTTAATGACGTAGTCCTGTTGAGTTGTGAGGGAAGTTTGCAGCGGCGTGGCCGACCGGCCAGAAAATGCACGCGATGCACCTTTATACTGGGCTGAGCCCCGTGTCGAGCTCTTTCTGTGCTGTCAAAGGAGGCGCGGTAACCGGCGGACGGTGCTTGGGGGGCGGGGGGGGGGGGGGGAGGAAAGGAAAAGAAAAGAAAGGCATCTGCCGACCAAAACTTTTGGAAAAGGTCGCAGCAGCCCTGCGGCGTTGCATGGTTAAGCGTGAGCTGAAGTCGGCAAGAGGGCGTCCTCGCCCTCTCTCCCGCTCGCAGTGGGTACACGCGCCTCTGAGCCCAGGCTGGTCGATCTGGGAGCTGGCGGTCAGGCGGTGGCTGAACATGCTCCCGTGGTCGTGTCGCGCCACCGGTAAACATCGCTCACACGACCGGATTTAGCCGACTGTAAATATCACTGGTGTTCACACTGGTAGGGTGAGAGGATGCGTCTCCTCATTTCCCCTAATTTTTTTCGAATTTTGCCTCTGTGGCACTCCCTCTGAACGGTCTGTTAGACGACCGGCCGTCGAGCCATCCTCCTCGAGCAGTTTTGCCTTTCTGAGAGACATCGATTTCAGACTAACTTATTCCCACCCACTTTGGCAGCTCTAGAGACACCCCACATTGTCCGGATGTATTTGGTTTTGCTATACACCGTACTGTTCTGGTATGTAACCGTTAAGTGTTTCGGGGCAGTATGGAACCTCTGCTGGTCTGTCTATGCACTGAAAATCTAACATTGAATATTAAGATACGGATCTGGGCCCAAATAACCATGACGGCTGACGCGGCTCTAAAACCCAACAACTAACTGGCTTCCAGAATGTGCGTTATTTCACGTTTTCCTATTCGAAACGTCACCACAAGGCCGGGATTTGCCCCGGGTCCCAGTTTGAGCGCTCCAATCCTAATTTGTCCCCGCCAATCTCAGAGACCTGGTTGCATCCACATTCTGTCGTGCGTGTGAAAATTGCACAGGTTCAGATATTTATGATCAAGCCTCCTGCTTCGTGAAGCCGACAGTAGGTGTCACTACTAATCCTGCCGCCTGATTGCTGGTCCGCCGCCGGCGGCGAGCGGGCGCTGCTGCTGAACGGTATTGATACCCGCCTCGGGTGCACGAGCACGCGGTGTCCGCGTCCGGGGCTAATTAGCCGTAATGATCGTCCGATGCGCCTCTCTAATTGAACGTCTGCATGTTACCCGAACCACGCCCCCCCCCCCCCGCATGTACACGCGCTCTGGGTCTAGCTTTGGCATGGAGCCGAAGGAATAGAAAGTTTCTGCCGAGGGGGGGGGGGGGGCTGGCCGTTACACCTTGCAAGCAAATGCACGTTGTGCTTTTGCGGGGCTCGACCCAGGAATTTGGGATCGAAAAAAGACAAGGTGTTTCCGAAGCATGCGGATTTAGAATGTATTGGGATAATGTTTAAAAGGCAGGACGTTTTATCAGCATTCATTGGATTGTCATTTCAGGGTAGGCATTATTGTTTACCACTGATTTTGGACCATGATTTACACGTTCCTTATTGAAGACAATTTTTTTAAAAACTGCCCGGCACCCATGTGAGTTTACGCAGGCCATGCCATAAATTTGAGAAGGAAGCAACGTCCTTACTTATGTCAACCAATAACATTATTCTCATGCTATCAAAAACAACATCAGGTTGTCGGCGTCCGTATGCCCATGAAAGGTATGGGCGATTCTTTTCATGCCGATGATATGGTGGGATTCAAGCTGGTTAATGCCACTTGTAAGAGAAAAGCACTGGATACATTTTCCACCTGCCATACACAGGGGCGCAGTTTCCCAAAATGGGCTAGGTGTGGGGAGGGGGGGGGGCTAGCGGTGAAGAATGACGCAACCTACCCGCTAAATACACGAACAAACAGGTCTCTCCCCCGCTTTGGCCCGCTTTCTTCCCTTGACCATACGATCCGAATGGCCCCCGTGGGCCGCCTTTGCCAGGCCCCAGAAGGGCATGGCCCCGATCATCCCAGGTCCGCGGTTACCCTGCAGTGGGATTAGCTGCCGAGTTTATCATTCAGGAGCATGGGACGAAGTAATGAACAGGAAATGTTTGTCGGCTGACGCGCGGCCTGGCGTTCTTATAACTTGGCCGGCGTTAACGATGGTGCGATGGAACTATCATCGGCGGAGAGCGAGGGCGCGAGCGAGGGAGGAGTTGTCAGGCTGACCTGACCTGACCTGACCTGACTTGTTTGACCTGCCTGGACCGTAAGTCCGATCAGGAGCTCTACCACGAAGAAAGGTTGTGATTATCACCGAGGTTTTTCGTATAGCTCCATTTGACGTCCATCGCTCTTTGCGGACCTAAACCGTCTGTATGTTACGCTGATGTAAGTTTCTTGAAATTTCACGGGCACTTGTACCCCGAATACCATGCCCCTGTTGGTCGTTTTTGATGCCGCGTCGTTCTGTTGCAGTTCCCCATCGGGGCGGCTGATCTGACCCTCCCAGTCTGATCCTCCCGGTGCAGACTGCTGATGTCCGTATCTGACCTGACCTAACCTGGCTCCCTTGACCCATTCTTTACCCTGACCTGTCCGTTGCGAACAGCGAGTGTACCAAACATGTCTGTCGTAGAGAGCGAGTGTACCAAACCCATCCGCCGCAGAGAGCGAGCGTACCAAGCCTGTCTGTCGCAGAGAGCGAGTGTACCGAACCCATCCGCCGCAGAGAGCGAGTGTACCAAACCTGTCCGCCGCAGAGAGCGAGTGTACCAAACCCATCCGCCGCAGAGAGCGAGTGTACCGAACCTGTCTGTCGCAGAGAGCGAGTGTACCGAACCTGTCTGTCGCAGAGAGCGAGTGTACCGAACCTGTCTGTCGCAGAGAGCGAGCGTGCTAAACCTCTGTTGAGCTGAGCATCTGTTGTGGAGCGACCTGTAGAAGTGGCCGATCTGACCTGACCTGACCTGACCCGCCTCGTCCTACGTTGCAGAGCTATCAGTGGGCGTGCCGGCGGCCGGGGCCCCGCTGCTGGGGCCGGCCTCTGCCTGCGGTCAGCCACCGCCGGCGCACGGCTGGACCCACCTCCTGCACGCCACACAAGGTGACCACGTCGCCGCCGCATCGTCACCAGCTGCTGATGGGTTGGTGTTGGCGCTGGTGCTGACGGTGGAGCTCGGAATAATGCCAGTATGGGTGGTTGCATTTACATTGTTGGGATTATGGGTGTGCATGTGGGAGGCCGACACCGGCGATTTGGTAGTTCTGATTTATTGAAAAGCATACAGTGTCAATATTTGACATCCGCATATCAGTTGGTTATGCTTGGACACTTGCCCCTCTGTTTGTAAGGCAAACGTGTCAAACTCTGAGAAACTCCCAAAAACAAACTTGCTTAGCTTACCCCATCCAACGTATCGGGGTTTCACATTACCAGGCACGCTAATGTAAACATGGATATCAAGACTTATGATGATGCGGTGGTATGATGGATGTATTTGTTGATAGGGTGTGCCCCACCTTTAAAGCATATTTCAAAAGCATTCTCTGGCGAAAACTCATGACTAGTCACGTCAAATAATAGCACGGGGAAATGGCAGTAACGCACTATCGATGTTGATAAGGTTATAAATTTTAATCGTTTCCGAGTCCAAATTACGCAGCCAATGCTTTGTAACAGCTCTGCGCTACATTTCTTCCGTGGCAGCTGCAGCTGTCGCGACCGCCGTTGTCATGATCACCGCCGTCGGTGCGAATGATGTCAGCGCAAACGTGTGTGATCGGAACAGCGGACGGCAAGGGCCTAGGACCTAGAAGTGCATTAGTTGAAGTTTGAATGAATGCGTCTGTGGACCAAAAACGACCATGTGGTACTCCCATTCCCAAAAGCCCAAGTGAGTCTCGAAAAGAGCCACTGTGGTAAATGCCATGGGACAGAAATCGGAGTCATGGTATAACATCGCGTTAAATTCGGGGGATAACAGCCTAATGTCCGCGTATTTTTTGTTTAAGCGAAGTCATTCAAGCTCTTTTAGCATTTATTGCACAAACATTTTGACAGACTAATGTGTAGCATGGCATACTCGTTGGAAAAGAGCAAGTCAAATGAATCGCATTACTTTCATAGCGGTGAGCAGAGGGTCCAAAGACATTTCTGCCGCATGAGCGGCAGAAACTGCCGCGGCCACTTCAAATCAAAATTTTGAGCTTCTGAAAGGGATTGTGACGAAACTGGCATTGCCGATCAACTGCGACGCGTCTGATTTAACAAAAAGTGAAAAGTGCAAAAAGTGGCATGCTCTCCTTAAAGCAAAGTTCTTATCGCATGCTTGAATTCATGCTGCTCCAAAACTTCCCCTGCTGAAACCAGAGATCTTAGAGGAGATCTTCGGCACCGGCACAAGGAGAAGTGTCGTGCGTGATGCGCGCCTCAGCCTGCGTATCTCAGCGCGTGCCCGTCCCTGACAGTGTCGCTTCCACGCTCCGCCGCCAGGGTTCACGTACTCGGGCCATCTGTCACCGCTGATGACGTCATCCATCAGTCCAGAAAGGTCGACCAACCGGCTCAATGGCCGCTCAAAAGGTGAGCAGAGACCCCAACGCCTAGTTGTGTTTCACGTTTGATTTGGTGCTGTTCCACTTTGTGTTCGCTGCTGCGTCGTTGCCCCTGCTTGGTCGCTGCGTCGTTGCCCCCGCTTGGTCGCTGCGTTGTTGCCCCTGCCTGGTCGCTGCGTCGTTGCCCCTACTTGGTCGCCGCGTCGTCGCCCCTGCTTGTTCGCTGCGTCGTTGCCCCTACTTGGTCGTCGCGTCGTCGCCCCTGCTTGTTCGCTGCGTCGTTTCCCCTGCTTGGTCGCTGCTTCGCTTTGCCTCTGCTTGGTTGCTGCGTTGCTGCCCCTACTTGCTCGCTGCGTTGTCGCCCCTGCGGCCTCCGTCGGATAGGCAATCACTACTGTCACGGCATTACCTGCTTGTGGAGACAGAGAGCACACTTTGCCTAATTATTACCTGTAGGAATACTGCACGTGTGAAACATGCGTTTGCCGCCAGTTTAATAGTGATTTGATGAGGTTTCTATGTGACAAGGACATTTTGATGACGTGTAGTTTTTTGGTTTGTTTTTTCCTTTTTTTGGAGTTGTTGATTTAAGGATGTAGATGGTACCTGCAAACTTATTTCACAAGCCACTTCACTTTCAGCCAGGGATGGCATTTAATAACTTTGTTATGAACCCAGTGGTTAGTGAGAATCTGGTCCACGTTTGTCTCACGATGCCATCAAGAGGGACGCGTAGGTGGTGCGGTGTAGCTAAGGGCGTGGGATCTTCCCTGAGGTGGCGAAATGCTGTATAAATCACGTGACCCCAGTCCAGGAGGCGCCTTACCGTATAGCGTTATACATGGCGGTGTGCGGACAAACCTGTGGCGTGCGACGGTTACTATGGTGACTTCTTTTGGAGACGAAAGGCTTAACAAACACGTGCACTTACTTTTTGAGGAACGAATTTTCATATTCCCTTTCAGTGCGGAGCCTTTGGACAATTCTGGACAGTGGCGTGGTCGGGTGGGGTGAAATTTGGTTATTGGGTCTTCAGTCAATATGGCCGCTCTTGGGCGATATCGGAGCCTTGTGTTGGGCTTCGAAAAAAGCTTTTAAGTTTGTAAGGTGTTAAGTTTTTTGTCTAGGTTGTTATGGGGTTGTTGGTTGCGCCACAAAATTTCATCAGCCTCTCATTTATGGCTGTTCTTGTATCCCGGTCTCTTTTGTGTCCTCCTTTACTCTATCATCTGCCTTTCAATCGTTTTGATCTCCCTTTCCCTTTCGCCTTGCTATTTCTATCACCTTTCTTTTCCTCTTTCCGTGTGTTTTTTCACCCGACGTCATCTCTCAACTCCCTTTCCCCTCATTCTTTTTATAATTTATCTCAATTTCCTCATCCGACGTTATCTCCCTTTTCCCCTCATCCTTCTTATTCTGTATCTCAGTGTCCTCATCGGGTGTCATCTCCCTTTTCCCCCTCATTCTTCTCATTACATATCTAATTTTCCTTTCCAGTTTCTTAGTGCTGTAGATTTCCCAGTAATCCTTTCATCATGAAGGCTTTAAAGGGTGACATGATTGATACACTTGTTTGGTTTGCGGCTCTGTAATAAAGTGAAAGTTATTGGCGCTGCATGACCTACAACAGACGAGGCGCCCCAAAGCCCCAAATTATTATAATCATCATCATCGTAATCTTAGCCTGTCCTGCTCCCCTCCTTCTCTGGTGTCCTCTCCTCTTCCCGCCACGTCCTCCCTCTCTACTCCTCTTCTCTCTCCTCCGCCCCCTCCCCCCCCCCCCCAACGTCACGACACCGAGTAGGCTTTGTCCGGCAATTATGCAAATCGGCATCCTTTCATTAAATATCAGGTGAGGGGCCGCTCTTATGAATAGCCCGGGACCCGTGGCTGACGTGCGCTGTTTGGCCCGCGGCGTGGTCTACACGTGCAGAGCGCACGTGTCGCCGCTTTGCTGCCAGCACGTGTCGTGCACGTTGCACCGGCGCACACCAGTTGCTGCCTCTCCGTGTCGGGCTGCTCGGCGGTGGTACGGATCGAACTGCGCATGCCCAATGCAGTTAATTACCCTGTTTACATGGGCAGCTGTTATTCGAATTGAGCCGGGACCCGTCCTCGATCCGAACTATCCGGCCCATGTATACACTCACGCGCTGTTCCGCTGATTCGAATCGTGCGCCGGCGGAAATCCCTTCCCGTGAGAGGATCATCCGTTCGGGAAGGGATTTCGTTCGAATTATCGGTGGTCAGCTGTCCTCCCCGAAAAAACTGCCTGGCGCATGCAGTTCTGTTCAAGGTCACTTCGGCTTTGTTTGGTGTTGCCGCCTTTCCACGGGTTTTTAGCTATTGCTCAAGACGATCCAAGTTCAAGATGGAAAATAAAAAGGGGAAGAAGGTGAAGTTGACACCATGCTGCCAAAAGTACTCTAATTATTCAGGGCCCTAAGTGGCTAGCAGCACACAAATGCTCACGTAATTTAACCTTGTTGGGCGCTTGATCTATGCAGACAGCAGGCGTCAGCAGTGCTTGGTGTTATCTGTCCGTCTCAAGGTTAGATTAATTTACATCTGGGGCAGGCTACATGCTTCCAAAAACCATATGGAGGTAACACGGTCATTTTATATAGCTTTGACTTGTTCTCACTTTTATTTTTGGATTACGCTCGAAATTGTTGCAGAATGCCTCTAAGTTTCTTTCACTAAGTGAATACCTAAAGGCCCCAGGATCGTTTTTGCAGACGCTCCTCCATTTAGGATGTTGGTTGCTTGTCAGTTTAATTTGCGTGAGGAAGGTTACTTAAAAATTCTGCCTGATACGAAGGATCAACAAATATAGATCAAAGCAGTCAGCTCGGAATGTGAACTATTTTTAATGATAGAACCAAAATTGCCCATTGATGGTTTCAAACATCAAGAAAGCAAATGTGAACGCTGGATGAAAATAGCTGTTATCAGTACTCTGCTAAATGTAGGCTTGATACTTCATGTGGAAGAAAACAGTGCATAAATTAAGTAACACGTGACACCAAGGCACGTGCTGCTCGGCGGCCATGTCTGTGGTGCATACAATTACCTCTTTCTATACTGGTGAGTAGATATGTTACTCTGGTGCTTTTTTGTGATAGGTGTCTGTGCAAGGCATGAGGTATGCAACTCAACTGTTGTCATAATGAATGATTTGTTATGAATTTTGAGGTAGGGCTGCTGTCGTCATGACATAGCTCTCTGACTGGTTCACATATTATGACCTTTGGACTGTGCAAACACAGCTGTTTGTCTCACCTAGCCATCAGTCCATATCATTCCAATGCCGTTGACTGCAAGGATATCAAAGTATTTCAACCCTGGTATGTCAAGAAAGCAAATAGCTGCCAGTCCGTGTCAGTCCAGTCCATACTTTCCAGTCCGTGTCAGTCCAGTCCATACTTGCCAGTCCGTGTCAGTCCAGTCCATACTTGCCAGTCCATGCCAAGTCTGAATGGCAATGCTGCCCCCAGGTTCTGATGCTGCATTGGATGGGGAAAGACAACATAATTGCACAATTTTTGCCATTAGCGGTGTAACATTCATCAGTCATTTTGTAGCGTAGCCCATTGTTGCGAGCTGCTCATAAATGCATTAGTGTGGGAGTAGGTAATATGTTTTTGGGGCTGGGCAAAGTACATGACATGATGCTGGGTGACCCATGTGATCAGAATGTGGTAAGTTTGTGAGTGCCACTGGCCAATGCAAGAAAATGCTGATTTCCTACTAGCCCTTGCATGTCAGCAAATATTCAGGTGTCACAGGCTCCAGGTGTATCTTAAATGTCATCCTAAATAATGTCAGCCAGAACAGCAAGCCATGATCTACATTGCGGAATGCGACGCAGTAGCCTTGCGTGCACTTTTTGGAGTTCTTGTCATGTATGGATGGTCTAACACATGTTACTTAAATATCATCTCTGTCATTGCCATGAGCAGCTTATAGTTTTATTTGCCAGCTCAGTTCCTTGTCATTCTTGATTGCCTACCTGTGATCAAAGAAACTGTTTCTAGCAGAAATATATGCTGGAATATCTGCAAATCAGTTTTTCCTGTTTTGTGCAAACTTCTGTGATCGTGCTCCTTGTAATGCACAATGTTGACATGTCTTAGGTCCACTAGTACAATTTTCATGTAACAGTAGCTATGGGGCAGATATGATACTACATGGGCAGTGCTGGCAGGCTAACTACATGGGCAGTGCGGACCACGCAACTTTTGAGTTTTAAATCTTTTGGCTGGTGCTGTGGCTATCAAACCTATGAGTCCCGCACAGATCGTTTTTCCAACGGAGTCCATCTTCCTCCTCGCCCTCAAACCCGTCTCGCGCCCACCATGGCTCATGACATTCGCCATCCATACGCAGAGTACCTGCATTTTTTTTCAGTTCGCCACAAAAGCGTAGTTTTCGCCCATACTCCGTTCCTTAATTCGAACTAAGCGGGATCGAACTATCGACCGTTAATTAGACGTAAAGCCGGTCTCGCCCATGTTAACACACCTCGGCGAGAGGTTTAACGTCGCATGATCCGTTCCGATCTTAATTCGAATTACCCTCGGCTGCCCATGTAAACAGGGTTAATGCCATATCTGTACCCGACCGGGGGATTGTGGTGGTAAACGGGGCAATCGAAGATACTGACGAAGGTCAGGATGCATGAGCACTCGGCCTATGCCCACGGCTTCAGGTTCTCGCTAACTCAGGTTCTCGCATAAGCGTATGGACGGGGCGGGGCGAGGGGCTAACATTCCTCCTTTCCCGTGAAAGCGGTGACCCAGCGGTGCTGCATATGTCGTGCTCTGCTCCCGAAAGCGGACGCTGGCCATTTAAAGTTGCCGCGTCGCGCAGTGGCAACCCGGTGATTGTCAAACCCCGACGTTTTGTATGCGCTGGGTCATGGCCGTTTTAAAACGCACACAGGAGGCTCTGACAATTGATGAAGTGCTGCATGGTGATGTAGCTCTCTCTTCGTTCGGAGTTGTTCCTGACGTGACCGGCCCCCAA